TCCAAAATGGCATGGGTAGATAAAGAGCACGTCTAATCTCCAGTTTTGCAAAGTGCATTATGTGAAGCATTTTTTGTTGTTGTTCATTAAGGTGGTAATTCCAGATTCCTCTCTTGTTTTGAGCCTACTGCAGCTTCTGTAACTATGTATGGCTTCTGTTTTATAAGGTACAGCATACAACAAAGACCTGTGTTTTGGAGAAGGGGAATGCTGACACCAAGTTTTATTAAATGCATGCTATTTTAGATTGAAAAATGCTTATAATAGGGATTACACTTTACATTTTGCTACAGCACTTCTCCATCTGTTAAGAGGATTTGTGGGGCCTGCATTCTGTGATAGGTACTTTAGGAGAACCATGATTCATTGGTACTATAATGGGAAACGTTTCAGTCTTTTAATATAGACAAGCATTAGCAACCTAAACAGTTTACAATGGTAGCTCATTTGGATCATTACGGTGACCAGTTAGCGACAACCATAGTCAACAAGAAGTAATTTTACTAATATAGATAGACTCTGTCAAGAATAAGTTTTTTGTGTCCAAAAGTTCTCTTAACTTGGTAATTAATGTTTAGAAATTACCAGTTTTATGGGTGTTTCTGACCCAGTCTGCATTTGAAATGTATGAAAACAATCTATATAAGCAGTAATTCAGATGATGCTGTTACAGATGAAAAGCTTGTACAACCATTATTCTGTTGTATCTGCCCCTCCGTCCCCCGGCATATGATCTTTTTCATTATACCAAAAGTATTCTTTAGTCCCTGAGCATTTGGACCAAAAAATAGAAATGCAAGAGCTGAGGAATATAGAAAGTAATCTTTTAGGGAGGTAGGGAAAAGGTCTCAGTTTGAGCACTGAAAATTCTGACATACAGTAACTCCTCACTTAGCGTTGTAGTTATGATCCTGAAAAATGCTACTTTATGCGAAACGATGTTAAGTGAATCCAATTTCCCCATAAGAATTAATGTAAATGGGGGGGGGGTTAGGTTCCAGGGAATTTTTTTTTGGCAGACAAAAGACATTATATACATATACAGTATAAGTTTTAAACAATTTTAAACAAACAGTTTAATATTGTACACAGCAATGAATGATTATGAAGCTTGGTTGAGGTGGTGGAGTAAGAGGGTGGAATATTTCCCAGGGAATGCCTTGCTGCTAAATGATGAACTAGCACTCGGCTGAACCATCAAGGGTTAATATGCTGTTGTTAATGTAGCCTCACACTCTACAAGGCAGCATGGACTGAGGTAGGAGGGAGGAAACATAATAGATGCAGGGCAGTAGCTGCAAATACTTCCCTGCGGAAACTGAACATGATGATGAGCCTAAGCTATCCAGCTGGAGCGCACCATTCCCTCCTCCTGACAGCACATGCACGGCTGCACAGGTGCTGACTTTCCAAAGTGTTGGGGAGTGCGAGAAAGACGTGCATTGCCCCTTTAAGTACGCTGAGCCCCGTTTAAGTTGCCCTTTTAAGCAGCTCAGCCAGTTCAGACAGGAAGCAACAGCTAGCTCCCTCCTTTCTGTTCCTGAACCCTGTCCCCCTCCTCACCTTTTTGGAGAGGGGGTATGGAGCGGGGGAGGAGCAGGGGGACTTCTTGATATCAGCATCCCTCTTCCCTCCTCCCCCAGCAAGCAGGAAGCTCCTGGGAGCAGTCCAAGGCAGAGGGCAGGGCAGGAGCAGCAGGGCAGTGGGCTGAGGGCCACCTGAACTGCTGCTGGGCAGCTGTTGAGCCACATACCTTACAGGGAATTTAGGGGAGCTGATGGGGGAGGAGGGCTGCTCCCCCCCCCCCCGGTTCCTAATCCCCACAAGGAGGGGCTGCTCTTACAGAGAATCCTGCAAGCAGTGGATAAAGCAGGCAGCTGGCAAACGCTGTTATAAGGGAGTATTGCACGATATTAAACAGACTTGTTCCCTAATACAGTAGATCAGCAACGTAACAACGTTAACCGGGACAGTTATGTGAGGAGTTACTGTATCACCTTGAGGCTATGCATTATGGTCTTCATTTTGTACCTGACAAGTTTTAACTCGGTTAGTCATGCAGAGGAGTTCTTAGTAAAACACTCCTTTTCTGAAGCCTTTAGCAGTGTGTTCTGGTGCTGGGAAACAAAATAATTACTTAGTGTTAACATCAATTTACAAAAATAGTAACAGATGCTATATCTGCCTCCAATCCTGCCTTGCCAATTTTTGTGGCACATTTTCCTTTTTTTTTCTCCCCTCTGCCCACTTGCTATGCGAAAGACCCAGGGTATCAATGAAAACTGACAGTAGTGAAAAGCTTATACAAGACTATTGTTGTTTACAGCTTTTTATTCCTTGCATCCCAACAAGTAAAAGGGGCTACTAACCACATGCTCATTGAGTATATTTTATGTATCTTTTTAGTATATAACACACGTTGTCACATCCAGTGAAGAGATTTGTGACAAAATAGTGGGATGTATTACAGCACTTTCTGGTTTTGTGGTTTAAACTGACAAGTGGATACTAAAATGCATTTGCTAGGAAAGAATCTTATTAAACCTAGAATGAGCTAATTGACCGCCTGTATTGCCGAGTAGAGCCTAATATAAGCATTTCAGATACTTTCCTAGCTAATGTGGACTGCTTTTTAAATAGTCTAAGGTAGTTTTTGAGTACTCCCTATGACATGAGATTTTAATCTTTTGATATAAGAATTAATTCCTGTCAAAACATGCAATAGAAATGTAATGACATTACCCATTTTCTGTGATATTGGACCTTAATAAGAAGTTGATTTTCTAAATTTATTTGGTCCTTCTTGGGGATAATAATTAATAATACTTCCCCATTTCACAGTGGTGGTGTGAGGATAAGCACATTAAACTTTGAGATTTACTGATGAAAAGCACTATACAAGAGCTAGGTATTATTATTGTGTTTAAGTAGGAGCCATTACAGTGGAGTAGTGTGTTGGTTAAGTGGGTATTACCTGGAGGCAGTCAGTACCAGTACATTCCTAACTGCACTTACTGCTCAAAGAACTATTTTTTTTTAATTCCAAAAGGTCTCTGGTCCTGGAGGAGTATTTGGAGAACTTCAGATGACTTTAATACAAGAAGAGCGTAGTTTATCTGAGATTTGTTCCCTGTTTGGAAAAATCTTAATTTAGCACATCTCAAATCCATCTGAGAATTAATGATAGAAAAAATTTGTTACATTTTGAATTATTCACTTGGAAGGGTGAAGTAGATATTTACCCATACATTTAAAATTCTGGCTCAAAAGATTCCTGGATGTATTTTTTTAGTCCTATATTTATATTCTGAAAGCAATAGATTATTTGTTTTCTAAATACAGTAATTGTTGGTATTTACTAAGATTGTCCAGAGGAATCATTACTGTAAAGAACAATGAGAGAAAATATTTTCATAGCTTAGGTATGTAGGCTTCTGGCTAATGCTAGTTAGCTGTGTGTGTATATTATGTGTTTTATAAAATTGTTCCAGGAACTGCATCCAAGAAAGCACTTCAGTATAACTCTTTTTTTACAAAATGGGTTGGAGTTATAGGGAGGGTCTTTTATGTTCCAATTAACCAGATTTGCCATACACTCTAGGCACTTGAATTCTTTTTATCAGTTTAACCGTGTCTAAATAATTATCAATAGATGGGTGTTAATCATACACTAAAACATAGAATTTTCTAATTATGCATTTTACACCCACTCCCTGAAACGAGCAAGGATAATATCAAAACATCTTAAAACATTAATCCCATTCAGCTGACAGTCAGTTACTTCAAAAACAACAAAGAGTCTGGTGGCACCTTAAAGACTAACAGATTTATTTGGGCATAAGCTTTCGTGAGTAAAAACCTCACTTCTTCGGATGCATACAGTCTGGTGCCACCAGACTCTTTGTTGTTTTTGTAGATACAGACTAACACGGCTACCCCCTGATACTCAGTTACTTCAGTGGTTTGAAAATAATCATTGTAAACTAGGCACATATTAAAATAATTGGACCATACTTGTGCATACTACGTCTCTAGGTGTCTTAGTATGGTGTGTGCATTATTAACTAGTGCACAGTATTCTAAAAGCAAAGTTGTCCTAGGAGAAACTTACTTCATGGGTTTGTTATTGAGAGTAATGGGTTGCCTTGGAATAGTACATGAATGGTATGAGGATAATAGCTGTCATAAGGTCCAAGATCTCATGCCGATTATTTTTGTCCTTGCTGAATAGAATAGTAAGATTTTGATGTGGACAGATTGTCTCTTATGTAAAGTGTGGAAGATTTGGTTGAAGAGCTAAATTACAGATCTTTCTGAGAAAATGGATCCATATTTGTTAGCTAAACTACATACACAGATTGCATGCTCAGCCCTAAGCTGAGTGTGCAGGTTTGGCAAACAAAATTCCATCTTTTAATTTCCAAAAGGGGATTGTTTGGAGACTAACATGTGCCATACTTGCAGTTTTCTAAGACCCCTAAAGTGGCCTTTCCCCTTTGCATTGTCCTGTTGGACAGAGGTTAGAAGACTAAAGTCCGTAAGCGTAAAGTGGGGGAGCGGACATCATGTGTTCAGCAGCAGAGCTGTGTTCTTTCTGTGCAGCAAGCATGCAAAGTAAAGAGCCTAACAAACTCCACTTCCCTAGAAGCTTATTTTAATAAAACTTCTATTAAATCTTAAAAAACACAAAACCCTCCCTGAGTCCCCCGCTCTCTCAGTATTAGCAATCCGGCCTCTTCTCCCAGCTTTATGCTGTAGCCTCCCTCGGGTTTCTGTGCATGAGCGTTCCGGCCAGTCAGAGCTCTCTGCAGCCACGGTTGTTTCCAGGCGTTTCTCTGTTTGATGCACCCGTAAACCCCTCCTCTCTATGAAGACGTGCAAGACTGAGTATCGGCTGTGGCTGCCCTGGCCACGTGGGGCTCGAGGGATGGGCTTAAGGAAGTAAACTGCGCTGGCAGCTTCCAAAGTCTGCTCAGTGCTCACAGCTGATAAATTTGCAGGGGCTACACAAGGCCGCGAGAACCTGGGATCGTCGCACGGGAAGACAAGGCGAACAGTAAACAGGTAGGATAAGCAGGCTTGGCTTTCAGACTGCAGGGATGTGACATAAAGTCAATGGTATGGGTGTATGGTTTAAAGATTTGCATAAAATATTTACCACAGGGACTTGTGATCGCATGAATTTCTGTTAGTATGTTGTGTTTGTTATATTCAGAATAGGACGATAATGAGAACATTAAACACGTCTGGGACTAATAACTTAGACACAAGCAAAGTCTTTGGTTTCCAGACTACTTCTTCTTCTTCTTTTTTTTTTTTTTTTTTTTTTTTTAGTAAGAAAATTTAATTGCATTCTTTTGTATGAAGAATTCATGTGTTTCTGCCTCTGCACTAGAAACTGTTTGGTGCATTCCTGAGCAGATATGCATTTGGAACAAGATTGCAATTTTGTTTAAAAGAGGTTTTGGGTGAGTCCTAGAAAGCTGTATAAATCAGTGGATGCTGAAAGAGAAAACACTAAAAGCTTGTTAATAACCAGAGTCACTGCTGAACTATTTCTGTCATTGGATAGAAATGCAGGATGAAGAAAGTGTAGTTTTAACTAATGTAGGGGCTTTCATTGTACAAGTTGTAAGATGTACAGACTCTTTTCCCTGATCAGTTTCACATCAACAGTCTTCTATACATATATTTAAAGACATTCTAGATTAAAAATACTAATTGCAAAGTTTTGAAACATAAAATGTGTAAAACAGCTTAGTGGCTTTGTACCTATGATATACAACTGAGACAGTGGCAAATATATCCTACTAAAGTGGCCTTAGTTTGCTGTAGCTTAAGCTAGGGAATTTTTGGCTAGGAACGTTTGTGAAGAGTGCCATTGGATCTTTAACAGCTACTTGGAGCAGAAAGAGCATAAGCTACAGTGAACTAAGGCAACTTTACTTTTGAATGAGAGCATGGGGGTAGGGAGTGATAATGTTCTTTAATTTATGTGCATTACCTTCACAACTTTAAAAAAAGAACAGGAGTACTTGTGGCACCTTAGAGACTAACAAATTTATTAGAGCATAAGCTTTCGTGGACTACAGCCCACTTCTTCGGATTCACAACTTTAGTAACTTTGGTTTAACTTTCCTAAGTGTCCCATGGAGACAAGCCCTTAAATACCAGGATAATTAATTGAGCCCTTCATTCTTTAGAATTAACTGCAGTTATTGTATGAGAATGTTAAAAACTGAGGCTCTTACTGCTACAAGAAGGTGTGAAAGATCCAGTGGCACTCGTTGTGAATGTCCTTGACCAGAAATTCCCTACAACTCCACATTTTTGGTATACTATTTGTGTCTTCACAGTTTGTAATATACCCATAATATTTGATGGGTTGTAGCTTGGTAGAGTAGAGATGAATTGAGTGACATTGAATTGAAAGTGACATGAATTGAGTGACTTGAATTGAAAGCTGTAGCATAGGCAGGCCTCCTGTATTTTACCACTATAGTAAAATACAGGAGGCCTGCCTATGCTACAGCTTTCAGCTCTGCCACTGGTCAGGGTGATGAACTATGCATCCAAAGAAGTGGGCTGTAGTCCACGAAAGCTTATGCTCTAATAAATTTGTTAGTCTCTAAGGTGCCACAAGTACTCCTGTTCTTTTTATGGGTATGAAATAGCTGCCTCACTCCAGAGGTGGCTGCATTTCATTAGTACTGTGTGTGTGTGTGTGGTTTAGTTTTAAAATATTTTGAAAGATGCTATATATGGTGCTTACAAAACGTTCTGGACATAGAGTGCTAAATCAGTTAGTGTATGAAAGCTAGATGGTGTTGATGGGAGACAGGGAGGTCCAGTTACAACCCTTTCAGTGCTTTGGCTGCTTTTTCCTAAAAGGTAGCAAAATTGACAGTGAATGCCAACCATGAAACTGACACATCTATTGTCAATTTTACTCTTCTAAAATATGTAAGTTGCAAAATGTTGTAACTTGTAATGGTTTTGCATTGAGTAGATGTGCAAAACCAGTGTAATTTTCACCATCTCTTCAAGCTCACTATTATTTATACAAACTATAACACTGCAAAATTAACTTTTAAAAAAATCACACTATCTTCTGAAAAATTGTGACTGCTATTGTCACAATTGGTAGGTAAAATTACTGTAACTGGTTAGTAGGTGCATTTAACAGCACTTAATATATAACCAGTGTCATTGTTTTGTTGGTCAGTTATGCTTCCATCTTATGCAGTAGCACCATTGCTCTTATGTAGTGTCTGGGGGATGGGCTCACATGCACAGTCTTTTCCAGAAAAAAGAAGAACAGGAGTACTTGTGGCACCTTAGAGACTAACAAATTTATTAGAGCATAAGCTTTCGTGGACTAC